CCTTAACAATCCATTCTGCCTCTGCCGGGCCTAGGCACCTCAGGTACGCGCCTGAAAATGACCGCTTGTGCAGCTGCTCTCCTATCACGCTGTAGTGGGCCGCTTTCCGCTTGATCAGCTTCGCCTGGGATTCGTCGTCGGGGAGCGCGTCCCTTTGCAGGTAGGCGATTATTGGGGATCGCCAGTCTGTTCCTTCTTCTTCCATGGCCATGACCCCTCCTCCTGGTGGGGCCTCCTTTGTAACAATGATTTGCCGATCGCCCTCAAAATCCATTGCGGTTGCTAGCTTAGATAGGGCATCGGCGTGGTGATTTTCTTCTCTCTTCACGTGTTCTAGCTTCCACTCCTCCAGTTGAGAGAGGACGCCTCTGACCTCATCGGCTAGCTTGATCAATGCTTCTTCTTTGGCCTCATAGTTCTCTAGGACTTGATTCACTACCAACAGGGAGTCTGAGCAGATGTGGAGACGCGTGGCGCCCAGTCCCATGGCGATTCTGAGACCGTTCAAGAGAGCTTCGTACTCCGCGACGTTGTTGGTTTTCAACTCTTGGAACCTATGTGAGAACTCGTGTATGACTCCTCATGGTGACTCGAGGACAATGCCGGCTCCCGCTCCACTCTTGCCGGCGGCTCCATCCACGAACAACCGCCACGTTTCGCTCTGCCCCTCCTCCGTCGAGGCGTCGAGGCTAAATCCTTCCGCCACGAAGTCTGCGAGGACCTGACCCTTGATAGAGGGACGCGGAGCATACGAGATGTCGTACTCACTTAATTCAACCGCCCATTTGGTCATCCGTCCGGAGGCGTTGAGACTTCGAAGTATCCTCTTTAGCGGCAGGTTGGTGAGGACCGTGATGGAGTGCCCCTGGAAGTAGGGACGCAGCTTCCTCGCTGCCGAATTAATGGCCAAGACCGCCCGCTCGATGGGCATGTAGCGCCTTTCTGCCGGGAGAAGGGCCTTACTGACATAATATATGGGATGGTCCGTGCCATCGGCATCTCTCCTCACCAGGGCCGAGCTGACCGCCTGGTCGGAGACCGCCAGATACAGATATAAGGGTTCTGCTTGGATGGGAGCGCTTAAGACAGGCGGAGTGGCAAGCTGCTCTGTCAGCTGGAAGAAAGCCTTGTGACACTCGGGACCCCACTGTGACCGCGAGGCGGACTTCTTCAGCATTTGGAAGAACGGGGAGCACTTGTCGGCTGCTCGGGGGATGAAGCGGCTCAGGGCGGCCATTTTTCCGTTGAATGCTTGAATTTCCTTCACCGTGTGTGGCGGTTTCAGGTTGAGTATTGCCTCAATCTGTTTGGGGTTAGCCTCTATCCCTCTGTGGGTGATCATGAAGCCTAGGAATTTCCCCGCCTTGGCCCCAAACACGCACTTCAGCGGGTTAAGCCGGAGGCGCTCTTTCCTGAGTGTCTCAAACGTCTCCCTCAAGTCGGCCAAGTGGTCCGAGCCTTTTTTGCTTTTGACCAGGACGTCGTCAACATAGGCTTCCACATTCCTGCCGAGTTGCTTGTGGAAGACCGCGTCTATCATCCTTTGATACGTTGCCCCTGCGTTCTTCAGGCCGAAGGGCATGACCGTGTAGCAAAAGTTTCCCATGTGAGTCATGAAGGCTGTTTTTTCTTGGTCTTCCTCCGACAGGCGTATCTGATGGTAGCCGGAGAACATGTCGAGAAAGCTCAAGGTTTCGTTATTGGCGGTCGCATCGATCAGCTGGTCGATTCTGGGGAGGGTGTATGCATCCTTTGGGCAGGCTGCGTTGAGGCTAGTAAAGTCGATGCACATCCGCCATAGTCCCGACGCCTTGCGCACGAAGACGGGGTTAGCTAGCCACGTTGGGTACCTGACCTCCCGGATGAAGCCCGCTTTTAGCAGACGCTTCACCTCCTCTTCCAGGGCCATTTGCTTTTCAAGCGACGCGTTCCTCCTTCTTTGTTGCACGGGGCGCGCCTTGCTTTTCACGGACAGGGTGTGTTCCGCGAGCTCCCTCGGGACGCCAGGCATATCCTCTGACGTCCATGCGAACAGATCCTTAAACTCCCGCAGGAGTGACAGGAGTTCACGCGCCTGTTCCTCTGCCAGGTGGGCAGCGATTCTGACCTTCTTCTCCGGCTCTTCATCGTCCAAGACGACCGCTACGTCTTCTTCGGCCGCCTCCGGACGGGGGTGGTTTAACCGCGAATCAACCTGGTCGACCTCCAGGTTTCGGATAGTGGCTTGGTAGCATTCTTTTGCCTGTTGGGAGTCGCCCAGGACGCGCCCTACCCTGCCCCGAGTGGGGAACTTGAGCATTTGGTGGCAAGTCGAGGGAACCGCGGAAAAGGTTGACAGAAAACCGCGTCCCAGAATGGCGTTGTATGCGGATGGGCAGTCCGCTACATGGAAGTCCATGAGGCGGGTCTTGGTCGCCCCTGGTTCCCCAATAGTCACCTGGAGGGTGATGGAGCCAAGGACTCTGACTTTAGAGCCAGAGAACCCCACCAGACTGGTTGTGGACGGTTTGAGGTCTTGTATTCCCTTCTTCATACTTTTGAGGGTGGAGTAGAACAGAATATCCGCTGAACTTCCATTGTCGATCAGAGCTCTGGTGACTTTGAACTTTCTCGTTCTGAAGGATATGACCAAGGGGTCATCTCCACATTCCTCGGGTGCCAGCTCTGAGGGAGCGAAGCCGATCTCCACCTGCTCGCTCTTGTGTACACTCATACACTGCACCAGGCGGTCCCCCTCGGTTCGAGGACGTTTACGCCCTCCTGCGATGGTGATGATCTCAACACCATCCTCTTCCTCCCGCGCGTGATGGCGGGGCGGTGGAGCGTGCCTAGGTGGGGGAGGCAAGCGTTCCCGACGGGGCGTTCGCTCTCTCCTTGGCGACCTGGATCTCCGACGTCTGGGCGTCCGAGATCTCCTCCTCGGGCTTTGAGAGCCTTCTCTTTCTCCCGCCCTCTCTCGGGGATGCGCCCGTGTATCCAGGCAACTTCTCAAATCCCCCGGGGCCAGGTACTTGAGGCTGGCTTTGAACTCACGACACTCCGCGGTGTCGTGAGTCGGCAGCTGGTGCCAGTCGCACCATTTCTGGTCGTCCTCCTTCCTTTGACGAGGGCGCGTCTCTCTAGCCTTCCCTCCTTCTCGGCGTCCTTCCTCTTCTTTCTCTGAGGCGAACACCTCGCGCCTTCCGTCCCTGTTGTTGAATCTGGACTTGTAGCCGCGCCTCTCGGGCGTGCGCCCCCTCTGCCTTGGCGATCCATTCCTTCCTTTCTCGTCTTTGCTTGAGGAGGGCGGCGTCCCCTTTAGGACCTCTTCGGCACCCAAGGCCTCTTCTAAGAGGATGACCTTTCGTACTACGCGGTCCAAGTCTTGCCACGACCTGATGTTGTGTTCCTTTTTTACGAGGGCTCTCTTCAACTCCCGGCTGTGTGTTGACATTCTTAAGTTTCCCGTAGCCACGCTGGTCGAAACATCCTGGATCTCACATGCTATCGTGTTCCACCTATCGTAGAAGTCCGCCAGCGTCTCCTCTTCCCCTTGCTTGCAGTTGATGAGTGCCGAGACCGTGAGCTGTCTCCTTCGTTGGGACGCGAACTTGAGCGAGAAGAGGGTGGCGAACTGTTCAAAGTTCTCTATTATTCCCGCTGGTAGCGACGCGTACCAGCTTCTACACTGGCCTCCAAACGTGACCGGGAATGCCTTGCACAGGTCTGCATCCTAGGCGTTGATCAGCTGCATCTTGAGCATGAATGCGCTCAAGTGGTCCGACGGGTCGGAGTTGCCGGTGTAAGCGGGTAGACCGAGCGATGAGAAGTTTGATGGCACCTGAGTCTTGAACAGACTTTTCGCCAGGGGGTTGTGCAACACGTTGTATCCCCTGGACTTCCCATAGCAGGGCCGCAGATGTTCTTCGAGGAGGTCGAGGTGGGTGCCCTCTTCGCTCTCCTCGCCCTCAGACCTCCCATCTTCTGCCTGGGTCGGGCTAGGTGGAGCCTCCTCTTCTACTCTTTTACCCTTGTCGTCGCGCTTCCTTGAGCCCTCTGGCTCCTCTCGGGTTTTGAGCATAGCGAGAATCTGACTCAGACTCTCCTGCATACTGGTGATCTGTTGCCCTTGGTCTTTCACGCGTTCTTCCATATCATTTTCTTCTTCGACGGTCGGCATCTCCAAGCCCCTGATGCTTGCTCCGCCAACCACATCTTTCACTGGAGTTCTGAAGTTCCCCTCCATCCTTTCTTTAGTGCTTCGCTCTAGCCCCACGGTGGGCGCCAAATTGTTTGTGCCTAGTAGATACTAGGCGGTTTGTGAAGCTGGAGCGAGGCGCCTGTTCCTGGACTGAAGGGGGGCGCTCCGGATACTCTGCAAAACAAGGGTCCAGGGCGGTCGCCCGGGACACTCTCCGAAGCTCAAGTTAGAGAGAGAATGGGGAAGAAGAGAGATTTATGTAGAGAGATGAGTAGTAGTTGAGTTTACCATAAATGAGCTTACTCTGTATTTATACCTGGTTCGAAGGTAGTTGGGACATTAAATGCTATGTCGGGCGCCCCGGGCTGTGTCAGGCGTCCCGATCAGGCTTTTTACCTTTCTGCAGGCCGCCTGATGCCTGCAATAAATGCTCGGTCTTGCCTGACACCGGATACGCATCTTCAACGGCTCCCTGCTCCTCTGCGTTGCCCAGTCGCTTTATGTCAGACATCCTTATCCGTTTTTCGGGTTTGCGGCCGGTCAAGGACCGCCCGCTGACCCGGTCTTCTGATCGGGTCTGGCCTTTCCTATTGGGCCTTAACTGCGGATGCACCCCTCTTGGGCCAGAAGCCCAATTACGCTCAACTATGCGGCCCAACAATCTCGGGATGGAAATTTGAACCCGCTTGTTGAGTATTACCCAACCTGATTTGCACTGGAGCGGGAATTACTCAACCTACAGTAATATGAAGTGGAACATGAATTACTACTTCAAATCTTACCCGTTTTGACTCGCTTACAATCTCAATTTTTTTCAAAACTTGATCTTTTAATTATTTATACTCAATTATTCATTCTATTAACGGATAACCGATCCAATCGATATCTTCATCCTTACAAGTAAACAGATAATCAATCCAACTACTCCGTTGACCGGAAACCAAACCAATTACCACCACTATCCACAAATGCCGTCTAATAAGTAACAAATAAAGACACAATGTCACACGGTTTTCATTCCTGATAGCTTCAAAACCTATTCACAAGTTGGATTCAAATAATTGGTTTCTTTTCCAAAGGCCAAATGAATTGTATGATGCCTGAATATAAACAAATAAGAGAATTAATTGACCTTTACTACATTGTCAAAACATTACTTTTGTTGTATTGCATCTTAACCAAATATGAGCAAGAGCTTGAGCTTGAGCTTGAAAAGAGAATTGGCCAAAACCGAGCTCTCTAGGCATACTCTACCCAGCACACCAGCCATGTAGCTTTCATCCATTTTCTTTTTTATCACCGACATTCCCGTATCTGCGAAGCTCCTCTGCTCGTGCTCGCTTCTCCTATTGATACCGTGGCAAGCGACTTTGAAGCCCAAGCTCTGGCGTTCATGGCGCCTTCTTGCAGGTTCGTTTTCCTGCTGCAAGGCCCCACAAGGCATTTGAACGCTTGGACGACATCATCCAGAAAGGCACGCGGATGATCAAGTATGCTCCCTATTCTGGGATAATGAAGGTGCCTCCTCCAAACAAGTTGAGAAAATGAGAGCAGACCAGGCAAAATCAAGTAGAGCAGTCTGAGGAGGACAAAGGCAGAGGCCAGAGCTAAATACGTCTCCTGCCTAAACAATTTCTCTGGAGACCTAGCCCAGGAGAAGGGGCAGCTTTCATGGTCATTGTTGTCATGCTTCCCACGCTTTGACGGGTGCCAGTTGTTGGTCAGAGATGCTTTATCAGGTAATGTAATTGTTATACCTGGAAATAATAAGTAAGATCCTAAACGTAAAGTTCAATAGATTCACAAGTCTAATAATCCTACTTAGGAAATGCACGATAATTCAAAATGCTGACCCTAGTAATCATGTAGGCATCAATTTTATTAGAATCTAGCCACATACAATCCACAATGCTGTCGCTCGTAATTATGCTGCCATTGAATATGTTAGCATCTAATTGCCAACAACATGATATGATGCCGATACATACCCATAATCATCGAAGAAACCATCGAAGAAACTAGGCTCAGAAAAGAGAATATTTGGGAACAAGGGACTGCTTATCTACTGCCATTCAAAACACACCCAGTCTTAACATGCTCACCACCTTGACAGTGTCTTTGGTTAGGTTTAGAAGAAAATGAATGCTATTTGTCTCAATGGAATACCTATGTTGCTATTATTATGCTATTATTTGAGGTGTAAACACATTGCTTGGTTCAGTACATTTATATAACAAATTGTGTCAGAATAGAGAAAATAGCGAGATTGCATGTGCTATTCAATTCAAATATACTCGAATTATGTGTCAACAGAAAAGAAGGCCTTACCGGTTACATCACTGTAGAAATTAACAAGAGAGCCAAGAGTGCGGGAACCGTGATACCTCACACGCATTGTAGAATTCAGAAGCACAAGAGTAGGGAAGCCATGAACTCCATACTTTGACAGCATGCTAGTTAAACCAATGAATGGTTAATTCAGTAAAGCATAAACATCATTCCCTGTGACTGAAGAAAAACAGTAAGCAATAAAAAGCAGGAGAAGGCAGCAAACCTGGGACGAATGGCTGATTCTTCGACCACGATATGTGGTATAGACGGATACAAAGAAGCCAAGACAGGCAACCTAGGTTTAAAAGCCTTTGAAAAAGGGCACCATGCTGCATAAAAGAGCACAGCTACATAGTCCAGACCACCCTTGTATATCAAATCTAGCGCTTTCTGTAGTGAAACCTCGTCCCCCTGTATGAAGAATACAATCCACGAAAAATCAGAAAACAAAAGAGGGACCAACTTCAACCTAAGCCAAGATCATATACGGATATGCCTAGAGCACAACTGAAAGCTATAACTAGGCAAGCAGAAAAGCTAGATTAACTAAATCAGGAAACTCTACTGTTACACACCTACCAGAATCCTGTTTCGCAATTTATAGTATGTGACCATTTTCCCTTAACGATCTTGTTTTATGACGCAAAGCAACCACAGAGAGCAGAAAGTACGGAACTTTACCAGCTCCAAACCTAGCCCACATTCATCAACTACTAACTAGATAGCGCAATCAAGAATTCAAGATATTCAAATGGTTTGATGGTATAGCAATGTGAAACTGACAAGGGGAGTGAGTGACGAGAAAAATTGGGCAAAAAGAAAGTGGGGGAGAAATAGAAAAGAAAGAAGGATACCTCGTTGACGCAAGCGGAAGGCATTGATTGGGAATTAGGGAAATCAGGGTTGGCATCTCGAAACCCAAAGATCGAATCTGTAATAGAAGGTCTAGGGCACATCGGAACCCTAGTAGCAGCAACAGCAGCAGCGTCGGCGAAGGTGGTGGCAAAGAGAGTGAGAGCAAACACGAAACCCACCTTCCATGTCCACCTCTTCCAAACCCTAGGCCCCAGCGCCATGGTGGGGAAAACCTAAAACTAGCGGGGAAAAATGGGTGGTGGAAATTTCAGGCAGGCGGGGAGGGAAGTGGGGAAACTAGGCGGTGGAGAGAGAGGAGCAACGGCGACCCAATTTCAGGAGAGTGAATGGAAAGAAGACGAAAGAGGCAGGTGGAGCTGTAAATGCGCCGGCGGGCGCTGCCGCGGATCGGAAATGGAAGTGGTGGTGGTGGTGGGTAGGATGGATTGGGCAAGTGTGAAGAAGATGTTTGGTTTGGGGTTCGGATTTTCCCTTTTCTTTGTCTTTGGTGTCGCTGGTCCAGCTCCAATGGAGTCTCTCCGTTTGTGATTCTCTTATCTGTCTATTATTGCAAAGAAAGGGGGTAGAGAGGGGCAGTGATAAAAATAGTTGTAATTCTCTTGTTGGGATTGTAACGAAGAGAGCAAGGCGGCGTTTCCAACTATTTATGTTCTGTCCATTGTTTGCCTGCTATCTTTTGGATGGTAAGTGGTAACCTTCTCAGCAAGGTTTATCTGCTTCGGTTTGACAAGTGATATGATTTTATCGAATATAATAATTGGTTTATATAGATTTAACAAAATCTGTAAACATTAAAAATTATTATCAAATGAATTTAAAATACTTATAAAAGATATTTGAGGACAAACTACTTACCATCTTCATTAATATTTAAATAAAATACAACATTACAAATACAGTAATAAATACTCATATTTAAACACAACATTTAAAGTCAACAACAAAAAATTATATGTGAACTCAACAAATAACATCAATATTTAACTTTTAAATTCATGAAATAAATCACAACTTAATTAACTTTTGTTAATGAAATTCACTAAAACTACGTCATTTTGTTTAGAGGATGAAAATAGACCATACTGATGGTATTCCACCAGTTACATGAACGACAACAATTATACCAGATTAACCGATTTACATTCCACTTACATGACAACCATAGTTTATGCCAATTGTTTTAGATAAAATTAAAATAGTTTCTAACCTCAAACCTATCATCTCTCTGATGAAACTAATGGATGGTTTGTTTGTTGGATTTGACTCATGGATTTGGGATTCAAATTTCAATCATAAAAAACTTGATCAAAATCATCAATAAATTGTGTTTACCAATATGTTTCACATTTATCATTAATAATATTTTATTACATTAGTGGTCTCTAGCTTTACATTTTCATCTCCACTTCCTCGAAAAGTTTTCGACTCTAATAAATGGTAGACCACATATGGTTTCTTTAGATCAACGCGTGGACTGCGACAAGGTGATCCATTACCCCATTACTCTTTATCCCGTGTATCAATGGATTTTCTACCCTTGTACGACAGGCTCTAGCGGATGGACGATTGGAAGGGGTACGACTTACCATCCGGGCAACATGTGTATCCCACTTGTTCTTCACCCGGTTGTAGTCGGGTTTCCATTTTCTACAATCACATTGAAGCACACACCAAACACATCCAAAGTGTTAGAGATAAAGTTCTAAAGGAGGTAACCCCACACACACTTAGGCACAAAAACATTGGGAGCACGAGTGCATAGGTGGGAAATGACTTTGGCATAACAAATGACGAGCACGGTAGGGTAAAATCAAACTATTGACACCCAAAACATTGTTAGACTTATATAGGACTCATTCTATATAGGCAAGCAAGCCTTACTATGAATTTCGACTTCTCTGAGGCATTTTAAGTTTTAACGAACACTTGGTGGGCGTTCGGTATGAACGAAGGAAAAACAACAAATTCTTGTCCATCAAGGCTACAAACAAACACCAAAAGCATCACACAACATTCATAATCATACAAGAAATCTTCCTGAACCATTTCCCTCGCCCAATTTGGACAATTTTACAAAAAGTACCAAATTCCACACCATAGAAGTAGAACCATAAGTGTCGATTTTCCAAGGATTAGGATGAATTGAGAGGTAAACCAACTTGAAAACTTTAGGTAGTGTGCTTGAATGAGTGAGGGAAGCAAAAATTGTAGGGAAACGAACTTTCTGGTGACCGAAAGATTTTGGGCAAGGGAAGACTTACCGCCGCCGACTGAAATTAACACATCAACGGCTAAAACTACAGTCGAAGGGCACCATGAGGAGATGACAAATTAGTGATGACAATGGGGCGGGGCGGGTACCTCAATACCCATACCCTCCCCACAGGCCACACCAACATTGGGTCAGGTCAGGTAATACTCGCACAGGTACAGGTCGGGACAGGTCGACCCAATCTTATATATTATTTGAAGAAAACGTTTATTTTCTAGTGATAAAACAAAAGAAAATTAGATTGTAAGTGAAAAATAAAGATAATAGGTAGACTAATGTAGTCCAGTTAGTTGTCTAAATGATCATTGGTTGAAAATATGAATTAGAATAAGTCAAAATAGGAGAAATATTGAGTCAAATCAAGGTAGGGCAAGTCAAGAACGAGGTATGACGGGGTGGGGCAGGTTGGAAGTAGTACCATGCCCCACCCCACGCTACTACGGCCGGGTATTACTCACCCCAACACGGGGCGGGATCGGGTAATACTGATGGAACGGGTTCAAATTGCCACCACTAGGACAAATATGGTGTTTCGTTATGAGTTTGTGTGGCCGATGAAATTTTTGGTGGAAGTTTCGTCTGAAGTTCATAGGAGTTCGCCAACTTGGAAGAGCTCTAGTCGTGCGAAGGGGAGGAATGGGTGTGAATCCTACTTCACTGGCCTTAAAAAGGCCGATCTGGGGAAAGTTATAGTTGTGAGACTTTGAAAGTCACGGCTGGAGCTCAAACCTGAGTACTAAAGCCTTCATCAAGCATGGTATCAATGTCTTCGTCATGCGATTGAGAGCATCTTTCAGTTTTTCTGAATGCGAAGAACTATGTAGTTTGGGAATTTCAATTATGTTTGTTTATTGAAGGCAATGGTCTTCTGCCGATCTTTGATGGTATGTCTCTGTGAGAACCACGCTTCTAGGGATTCTCGATACTGATCTTCGGCACTCGTGATAATTAGGGATTTAGGGTTTGATAGAAGGAATTAGGGATTTAGATGAGATAGAATAGAATTGGGAATCGGCCTAAGCCTTGGATTAGGATGAGATGAGAAATTAGGAGTTGAGAGGAGAGATTAGGGTTTGGGAGACTTTGCTTAATATTCTTCTTGATTGATTATGACGTAAACCCAAAGTACATATTTATAGGGAAATACTGGAAAACCCTAACGAATAACCTAATTGTACTAAATCTCTACTAACCATAATAATAATTATCCTATCTAATATAATAATAGAAACCCCAATAAATGTGTTTCTCACAATCCATCCCCCTTGAGAACAACCTTGACCTCAAGGTTGTAGTTGACTTCTACCTCCTTGACCTTCCGCTTTCTTCGTTTCCAATTGCGTTCCAATTCACGAATGACTTCTTCAACTCCAACGTCCTTCAACTCTTTTCGAATTGCGTGACACATGTCACGTTTCCTATAAACGAACAATTCTTCCTCTTCCTTTTCAAAATCCATGGAATAAGAATTGGAGAATTGTCCTTCTTCATGCTCTAGCTTGAGGCCTTCAAGGCTATGCTCCATAAATTCTTGCTTGGTGGTGATTACAGCCCATAACCTTACCCAATCCTCTTTTCCTTCACATTGAACTAGACCCATATCTACTTGGAAGAAAGAGCTAGAGCCCAACCCAATGTTAAGTCTCATTGTTCTCTTCTTCTCTTCATTTCCGTTTGGGTTTGGCCCATCGTAAAGCCCACTTGCCAAGGTAAGAACCCACTCTTTCTTTTCCTTCAAGCCTTGCTCAAACCAAGGAGAACAAATCAGACAGCCCATCAGAGGCCCAAGCCCTCTCTTAAAACTCGGCCCATCTTTCTCTTTATGCCAGCTGAGTTCTTTCTTGTTCAGCCCACCATTTAATCCAACTAGCCCACATTCTTCTTCTCTCAAGTTCTGTCCCTGCAAGACAAATCTTACAAAATAGCCCACTGAAACTCGGCCCAGGGAGAGCCCATGCGAAATCCATCCTGGCCCAACAAACTCCACCCATGGGTGCGGGCTGGTCTGGCCCACTTTCATTGGCCTCACGGCCCACTCGGCTTGGAAATCTCGGCCCGATGGGTGCCCAACCCACCCCACTCTTCGACCGCCTAGGGTTACAGCAGAAGGAGATCCGCCGCCGCCCAAGAGCTCCTTCCTCGGCGAACCCTTCGCCTCATTCTCCGGCGACGCGCAAACGATCCGGCGGCAAGGCTGTTGCCGCGCTTCTGGCTCCGTCCTCCGACCCCTCTCCCTGCTGATCGACAACACGAGGGGAGCCGCCGTCGAATCCTTCTCCTTGTTCGCCGCCGTCTGCAACTTCCGGGACGGCGCTGTCTTCGTCTCGGTCAAGTTCTCCGGCGAGAAACAGAACCTCCAGCAGGAAGTTTGCCCTGCTCCCCGCTCCGTCTTCGACGGTGAATCCTTCTTCTTCTTCCTCTTCTCCGGCAGCCCCTCGTCGTTGGTCGAATCTTTCCTCGGCAGTGTGCAATTCCGCCGATGGCCAAGTGGCCAGTCCGAATCCGCCACCGCCTGCTCCTTCTTCCTCGGCGGCGTTTTCTTCTTCGGAGGCGAACAGGCCGCTGTCGCCATGACTAGAGCCGCCGCACAGCTCGCCTTCCCTTTCTCCCCAACTGTCGTCACCGCGGCTAGAGTCACTACAGATCGCGGCGTCTGGGTGATTTCCCTCTCTGGCAAGACTTCAACCTCGCGGCGCGGAGCCAAGCTCGAGCCCCCGATCTTCCTCTTCGACTCTTCCTTCAGCGACGCGATCCAGAGCACCGGCGAGTCCAGCCCACGGCTCGAGCTCACGATTGGCGATGATTGATCGTCGGGTGGTTTCCTCGGCTGTGGAATGGCCGGGTTTAAGAAATCCCTTGTCGCGCCGGGACTCGCTCCCGGATCTTCTTCCATCATCATTACAGCCAGATCTGTCTGTGTTGTCAGAGCGGCAGCAACGGCCGGTAGTGGAGCCATGGCTTCTTTCTTCTGTGATTTGGTGGTGATCACCAACAGCTGTGGCCGTTTGATGTTCTCGGCAGTGGCCTCGGCTAGAGGAACAGCTACCGACGACGACGGTGGTGGTGATGTCGCAGCAGCCGCTGCAGTAGCTTCTTTCTCGGTCTTCACATCGGCGGTAATTTCCCCTTGCTCGACCTCGATTGGACACTTGTTCCCACCAATCCTCGAAGTCCAATTCTGCAGCTGCGTTCTTCAATAATGGCGGTGCATCTTCCTTCATCGACTCCTTTGGCGCGGCGGTTGCGGTTATGTGTGGAGCAGTCTGCGCGATGTTCGCGGACAGCGGCAAGGACGAGGTAACCTCGTTCTTCCACTCCGCTTCCAGCTTCGACTTCAACATCTTTGTGAGTGCGTTGATCAAGAGCTCTTCGAATCTCGACATGGTTCTGGTACGAGTGCCACAACCGGGCTCTGATACCAATTGTGAGAACCACGCTTCTAGGGATTCTCGATACTGATCTTCGGCACTCGTGATAATTAGGGATTTAGGGTTTGATAGAAGGAATTAGGGATTTAGATGAGATAGAATAGAATTGGGAATCGGCCTAAGCCTTGGATTAGGATGAGATGAGAAATTAGGAGTTGAGAGGAGAGATTAGGGTTTGGGAGACTTTGCTTAATATTCTTCTTGATTGATTATGACGTAAACCCAAAGTACATATTTATAGGGAAATACTGGAAAACCCTAACGAATAACCTAATTGTACTAAATCTCTACTAACCATAATAATAATTATCCTATCTAATATAATAATAGATACCCCAATAAATGTGTTTCTCACAGTCTCCTAGCCCATCGTTCCACCTGCTACTGTCGATGCTTTAATTTGTAACGTTGGAACATGAAAAATGTCAAGGTAAAATCTTGGATTCTGAATTATTTTGATCCTCGTATTGTTCTTCGTTTGTGGTCATTCAAAGCTACGTTTGAGATGTGGAGACGTCTGATCGCCACATATGCAATGCAGAGTTCGCCCTGGCAATTCAAGCTCGAGCTCTCTAAACTGAAGCAAGGCGATATGAATATAGCCACCTATTAAAAATAGTTGTACAATTATGGACGGAGCAAAGATCTCATGTTGGCTTCATTGCATCCTGCTAAGAGCAACCAATCTCGTTTCTTCCAGTTACGTGGGAGACGCATTTGAGAACGCAAGATAAGATCGACCTCCGACTCTGTGCAAGTGAAGCCATTTTTTGTTGTGTCAGTCCCATCCAATACATGCGAGGAAAAGAGACCGGAACTTAGCTTTATCAGTGCATTATTCAAACATCATGATAACACCCTAAATATATATGTTTTTACCAACACTTTCATGTCCTAAGCATAAAAAGTGTACTTTGATTTTCCAGTTTTACACTTGGAGGGAAGATTGAGAAACTAAGGAGGGAAAGAAACGCAAAAAAAATGTTTAGGGTTCGAAATTTGGCATCAACGGAACATGAGCCCGCAACCTCCAAGGCGAGGGCAAATAGTTGTACCACTTTGATTGTGTTACCTTTCGGTACCAAACTCACTGTGTATTATGCTGACGATTAAACATAGAAACACGATGATATGGATAGATGTGTGTCATAACTGAGGAGCTCAATTAGTACGATATTGTCTGCTTTGGGCCAAGCCACGGTTTTACTCTTGGGTGTCCTCCCCAAAAGGCCTCGTACTAACTAATGAGCTTGTTGGACACTTATATACAAGGGTTCCTTCCCTTGTATTTCTGATGTGGTACTTGGATTGTCCCATAACTATTCTCCCCTCAATACAAAGACCACGAACTTCGTGTCCTCACCTCAGCGATTATCTTGTATCGATGAGCTTCTCAGTACAAGGACTTTACCAGACGCAAAACTCTCTTTGATCCGCCAAGCCCAAACGTGGATCTCTCCTGGATCCACCAAACAGACGCGAATCACCTTTAGCCCCGAACCGAACCAGACTCTGATACCACTTGTCATAACCGGGGTGCTCAATTAGTACGATATTGTCCGCTTTGGGCCAAGCCCACACGATTTTACTCTTGGGTGTCCTCCCCAAAAGGCCTCGTACTAATTGGACTAGGTGGACACTAATATACAATGGTTCCTTCCCTTGTACAACCGATGTGGTACTTGGATTGTACCCTAACAATGTGATTGACGATGCACAGTCAAACCACAACCCACAAAGTCAAACACCGTGATACAACGTGTCAAAAAATCGCGTGGGCCCCGAACATCAACATCAACACGGTCGTGTCATTGGCAGTGTTGTCTTCCATATCACATTTTGTATTCATTTCGATGCAGAGGACAACATTTATGACGTTGGTGGTTGATGGATCTGACACGATGACCAACACGATCGTGTTAAGGATGTGTCTACCTATTTCTGCATGTTGCAAGTGAGCGACCGACAATTTCATCCACCTAGTCAACAACATGACGGTGTCGACATGGCATATCGAATAAGGTAGGATGCTTCTTGTGATAGCTTGTTCGCCATGTTTTCATATGAGGACTTTCTGGCATCAGTTGCTCGAAAAGGGGGATGTGAGTCGTGTTAGGATTGATGAAGGGTGGCTGTGATCTTCTGGCAAATTTGGTTGGCTCGGAATAGTGTGATTTTTCTATCATAGTTAGTTCACCATACTTGTGTTGCTATCATAATAGGGGTGATCTTCTCCCCATCAAGGACGAGCCTGGGGTATCAAGAAGATGAAGAAAGGAAGAAGGACAGAACTGAAATTTAACATTTTTCATTGAAAATCATGAATCCATATACAAACAAGATATTTGGTCCAAATCCCAATTGTAAATTACCTGAGTTTTTAGTTATGAGATTTGACTCACAATCCTTCATAAATCCCGCAGAGCCAAACCATTCATGCAAACTACCCGTGTGAATTCAGATTTAGTTTGCCACCTGTACTAGTCTACAACAATGCAACGACTAATAGTCCACCTATAGGGGTTTATTTAGGGATGACAAAAATATCCATACCTGTGAATACCCTCGCAGAGCTGATTTAATCGGGGTAGGGTAATACTCGCCCAATAGGTCGGGTACGGCCAGCATGACTAATCTACTTGACCAGACACATTCTTGACCCATTTTTGAATATATTACATCTAATTTTAATCAAATTAATTGAGATCTTACTATTTTTGCTTCATATTTAACTATAATAAATTTATAAATATATAAGAGCATCAATTTCTAGAATAAATGAACTATATTTATCAAATTTATAGTTTGTTCCTTACTTTTTTAACAGATAATTAATATTTCTAATGTTTTACTTTTAGTTACATACCAATATAGACTCAACCTACTTCAGGGCCGTTATTGAGTATCTAGATAAGATACCAGCTCTAACCTATTCATTATCATTCCTAATGTGAATGTTAACATGTTGGTTGAGGATAAATTATTACCTATGAATAATCATGAAAATCCAAACCCAATCAGGTATGAACATGATCTCGAATTTTCACTTATTACCTATGAATAACCGTGCCTCGGCCTGTTCCCACCCCATCCCTATATATTCACTTCCAACCCCTCGAATGAGCAAAAAAAAAAAAAAGGTAATATGATTGAACTTATCAAGGCCAGCGAAAGCACGGTACAGGAATATACCCAGTTAACTTCTAAGATCTTTCTTGTGAAGGAAATAAAAGCACACGCACACATCAGGACCTTCACAAGACAAAATGAATGCAAAAGAGTAAGTTATGCATCAAGAGATGAAACACTTGGTAACAGACTAAACAGTCGTACCAGAGCCAGAAGATCAAAATCCAGCAAAGCCACCTGTCGACTCCAGCCGAGTGCTACATCAAAAGCTCATCTCCTGGAAATAAGTTCAATTTTCCAGTCAATTGCATGAAGTAAACAATCAAAGGTTAAAAAAGTCTCAAAGGGGAAAAACATCAGTTCATCATGCAGAGACCAATTTCTTTCTAACTAATTACCTAGTTAGCAGCACCCATAGGGCAGTGCAAAACTGCAATGTGGAGGATCTTCGTTGGCTTTAACTGCCCTACTGTAAACTTAGTCTCCCGGGGAACTTGGCATTACAGACTGCGCATATAAAACCATCCGTGCCAAATCCCGATCTAGAATCAGGAGCACTGTAATGAAACATCTTTCTACAAGAAATGCACACAACAGGAAGGTCGTGCCGGGTTCCCATTTTTGGCAACAGAGGCAGAGCCTCTTTCCCAGCCCAAATGGGTGATGAATCCAACTCCTGGTTCACCGTTTTCGCATAGGATAAAATCTTGGGATCCTCTGAATGAGAGGTCATTTGAGAATCTCGGAAACCAAATCCTGGGTTATCCATGTTGCCCAATCTCAGTCCTGGTGAACCAGAAACGCTGCCACCAAATTTGAAGCCAAAGAGATCACTTCCACCCTGTCAGATTGCGAAAAACCATTTCTCATTAGTCATTAGCCGAGTTTTAGACAACCTGTACAGCCTCAAAATGATGGGTAAGAGTGCATGTTTGAAGACGGACACTAAAAGATGGCTGATTACACACCTGGTTAGTAGGTTAACCGTGCCAATTGAGATACAATTGGCAACTGTCATTGGGTGTATTTCACCTAGGAAAACACTAGACTGTTTCACTTCAAAAAGATCTATAGGGTGGTCTTCAAGTTGCATAGGTATGCTATGCTTTAAACATTTTATTAGGAACTTTCATATTGCTAAATCGACAGACATATCCTCATTCAAGGAATTGACACAAGGAATTGAGTTCGAAGCATACAGTATGCATAGCAGTCGCTATAAAGAAAAGAAACACAGAAAATGTCTAAAGAGAATGGAAAATGAGGACTTCAGAACGCAAAACCGATACCATAAACATATGGATGGAATAGCAGAAATATGCTGAGCTGAGAAAATCAAATACAGACAAGGCCCTCCTGTTATGGAGTTTCACAACACTAATCTTACAAGGATGAAATCATATATTTGTTGACGAAGAATGGAAATTTCTAGTGATCTAGGCAGACATTAGTATAGGCTAATGCAAGCTTGTTGACTCCAGGGTCTCCAGTGAAAAGCAACCACTTGAGAATCAAACAGAAACATGAAGAAAGATGTCAAACATATAAAACCTCTTCACAAACAAAGAGTTGGGGAGGGAGCACTAATCCAAACCTCTGTTTATGTAAAACGTTATTATTTTTTTATGAACAGAAATAAAGTTACCAGGCCTCTAATTCGCACGAGTTCTCATGTCTGGCAAGTTTTTTACCTTTCTCTGAACCAAATCATATGGAGGAAGAGCATTTGATGACAGCACAGGTTGGGATGGAGTATCAGCAAAACCACCAAGCAAGTTGCTCTCTTCATCAGTTCTCCACATGAACTCCCTTGTAGCAGTACTTCTATTGGTTTGTGCATCACCATTAAAACAGGACTCCATTCCTTTCTTCCTCGAATTTCCGAAAAATTCACTCTGAGGAAAAGCCCTGTTTAGGTCATTCCCAAAGCTTCGCACTTGACCATTGAATGGAAAAGGCAGAAAATTCTCCACAGAACCATCATTTGACCTTGGGTATTCATCCATAGAACACCTGTCCTGACCTATTATAACTGCAGGAAACGTTTCCTGCTCATTATTTCTCATAGTAAGACTATTCTGAGTAGCACAGGCATGGCCATAGTAGATGCTTTGATCACCCTTATATGAACTATTAGCATCATTATTTCTGCTATCCACCGAGATACTTGAGATCTGATTAACCTGGTTGACATCACCATGGGCTTGCATATTATAACCTGCTTGACACTCTAAGGTATACGACTGTCTATGTGCAGAAGACATATGTGACAAACTGGTGGAACTTCTTTCCTCCTCTACATTGCCAAGATAACCCAAGGGTAGAGCGGTGTCGAAGCCAAAATAATTCCTCTTTGAAAATACCGCTTTATCACATTTCAGAGTTTCTCCTTCTCCACTAGATACCTTAGCCACACCGGCTTTCAAACCACTAAAATGCTCACTACAAGATAGAGCTAGCTGGCAGTCATCATCAGCTTCCTTCTCTTCTGGAAGTCTACATATACTGGATCTGGGGTTCTCTTTTATATCACGGACAACATAGAACATATGGTCATTTGATGGTTTGCCCAGATGGCTTCCATATCGCCCATTTTGTTCATTGCTAACACTATCATCAAAAGGCAAAGAATTCCCACTGTCTCTATCAACTGTTATATAATTGTTCCTTGATTTTTCTGCTACATCAGTTGGGGGCCTAGTTTCCCAGCTACCTGGCAGACTTTTCGCACTACTGGTCAGACCAAGTGTTATCTGATCTTGAGTTAAACATGAATCCTCTTCATAACCTTTTGCTTCCACAGTGCCCACTGTTGTTGGAGTCAGAATCCCATCTGCACTATTTACAAACCCATGTTTCTCATCACTGACAAATGGAGCAGGCAAACAACACTCAACAGTCTGCTCTGGGATGTTAGTAGTAGCATCTGCCTCTATTCTGCAATCAAAGACATGTGCAGCAACTGGAACCTCTTCCTCTGCTGGATCGGCGCTCTTGATTGTAGAGTCTTCTACTATAGTACTCGATATATTCCCATTTTCAACGTTTTGACCACCAATTATCTTCTCATTATCAAGAACAAGAGAGCGACTAACAGGACTTCTGTTCGGCTCATCCTGATTCATTGGTGTGCCGGCATTACATGTCTCATGCCTATTATGTTCAGAAGATGTAGCAAATGAAGCATCCTTACAAAAGATTTCCTGCCCAGCAAGGGAATCAATGTCATCAGCAGCACCTTTGCAAGGCTCCGCCCCATCCGATGATCCACAAATGGCATTATTCTTATTCGTATCTGGTAAAATTGGAGCGACAACAGAAGGGGGACTATTAACAGTATAACCAATTCCATTTCTTTCATTTGCCCTTCCCACTTCATCAAGGCATGTCGTGCTAACTTGATCCTGCTTACAATTATAATTTGCAACATAATCATTCACTTTTGTTGCACATGGAACCCCATGTGTTATTGCTTCATTGGTTTCGGCACCGGAAGCTCTTTTGGCCATGTCAAATCTAATAGAACCATGAAGCTTCACACCTTCGGACAGAACAGCATCACGAGTAGGTATAGCATAAATATTCGAGGTTGGCAATGGGCTGGCAACCGATGATGGGGATAATACCACACCCTTTTGAAATGTCCCCTTTCCCAATGAAGCTTCAATTCTCTTCAAATAGTCTTTTACGTGATTTCCAAAGTGACCATTGAAGCGATGCCTTTCATCAAAAGTCTTGGGACATAATTGGCACTCGTATTTTCCATCTTTGATTATGGCTTCCTCATTCGTCGTTGTTCCATATCGAATCCTCTTTGGAGTGCGACGATGAGATGTTACCAAGTGTTCGAGCAATTCATCTTGTTGGTGGAAAGCCATTCTGCATTTATGACATTTGTAACTTTTCTCAATCTGGAGCTCATCAAGGCTCCCCATCTCTATTGCGTAGGTATTCTCCTTGGGTTCAATGGGCCGGGTTGGAGAAACAGACCATGTTGAAGGGTACTCGCATCCATTATTGTCATCCGTAAACATATTTTCTGCAGACTGTTGTAAGCACACTTTGTGAAGTGAAACAATATAGGGATGCTGGAATGGCTAACAAATATTGCAATGCTGACTTACATATTGAGAAGTTACTCGGACATTTCCATCAACACCACCAAAATTTGACAGGGTTGCATCTTGGAGTCCAGAAGCGGAATGTAAATATGACCCAACTTCCTTGAAGGACACAAACTGCTGCCCATTAGGGCTGGATGGTATTGAATTAGCAAAGACAGGTAAGATACATGCAACACAACCAACAAAGTATACTGAATTTGGCCTAGGAAATAGATCAGAGAAAAAAGCATTATGTTTTTCTTGAAAGGTATAAGAGTAAAAAAAAACGTATATGAATGAGGAAGTGTATTGGAGACGCAAACTGGCTACAGCAGTGTCACGAAAGATATTTTATGAATGTTAAGCTAATCACACATCCTACAAAAGCAAAAACATGTGCTTAATATCATATTGGCTAGATTTGATTCAATCGGGAGGAGCCCTTAGGGAGATGTTGTTAATAACAGGAGCAAATAGTAGAAGTGAGGAGGTATATGACAAAATTATTAAAATGAATTATGTGAATTATTAAAATGACCCCATAAGATTTTTAAGCTTAAAATAAAAAGGAATGGGATACAACTGGAAATGCAGAACAGACTGAGTCGCATCAATTTAACATACATTTTAAACACAGAAGTTGAAGGATGTATTCATTAGAGATATTCTTTTCAAATCAACAGCAGGCACCATCACAAACAGATTGAATGACATGAAGCCTACAATCTATAAACAGAAGGTACTAGGAAAACTGGAATCCAAAGAAAAAACACAAAAAACCTAATGAGGGAAAAAAAGACTAATGACATGAAACCAATGCGGTCAAAATCGCGCTTTAAAACTTACAAACTTACGATTTTACGCTTTTAGGTCAGCAAAACGCTTTCGTTTCCATATAAAAACTTTAAAATATAAAATCGGATTAAATTACGCTTTAAACCTTAAAAAGCTTACGTTTTTACGCTTTTAGTTCACTAAATAGGTATTCTTTTCATGAAATTAAAGGTAAATTACCAATAATATGATACATTTGTGATTAAAGATATATATTAGGTACTTGGATGCATTCTCAGCTATCAATAGAGTATCCTAATTCACCAGTTAAGCTCTTCCCAAATTCATTAGCATAGAGGTGACGGTGGCTTATTGTTAAGATTTATGTTTATGAACTTATTATTAAGAGGCTATAAGTAGTTCTACTTTAGGCATGAATTGCAGGTATTAATTAACTTATCTAAATTATGTGCACTCATTTTTTATTTAATATATGTCGTACTCAACAGATTTTTAGTTATTTTACGCTTCAATTCTACGCTTTACGATTTTACCCATTTTCCACTTCTAAGTGGAATTGCGCTTTTGACTGCATTGCATGAAACAATGGAAAGTATAGGACAAAAAGGCCAAACAGCACAGATGCTGTCTTGTAGCCCAAGACGCACAAAAATTCGACAACGGTTTTTTGCATATTTAATTGCACAAGTCAAGTAAAAATAATCTAATGCATCAACTAGGATATGTTAGCTTAGGAATTGAGGATATGTGAATTTTATGGGAAATCTTCTTATTGGAGATCATATATACTAAAATAGAATGCTTAAAGGTCTCAAAATGGAGTAAAGTTAACATAAATTGAGCATTATAAAAATTCAAAATAACCTATCAAACTTCTCATATTTTTGTAAACTTGCCAAACAACTTCTAACCATTCAAGCACTTAGAGATAACACAAATTTTACGAAGTTCTCAAATTTCCAAATGTTGTTTAGAGACCGTATATGTATTGCTATTACATAAGAATTTTATTAGAGTAGGCTTTTCTGTTAGCATTTCCTGCATGGTGATTAAATAAAGCTTTTTTTTAAACAAGTTGGAATAAAAGTTTTTATGAGTCTTTTTAGGCTTGTACTTCAAGTTCATGCAATTATAATGAATATTTGTCCTTAAATATGCAATTTACTTGACAAGAGTTATAACAACAAGAAATTTTTAGCAAATGATGTCCCAAAGATAATTGCAACTCCTCTTTTTCCACGAAACCTAGAGGCCCTTTCAGGAGGGGCATAGATACTCTCGGTGATGCATAGGATTCTTCCCCAAGCTTTTAGATCTATTTCTATTTGACAATATAGTTTCGTGCATAACCCATAGCCTCAGAAAATCAGCCAATAAACAACCCCAACACCCAACTTTCAACCCAAATAAGAAAACCTCAAGTAGGCAATTTCCCCTGAAATCTATCTACCTTTGTCAAATACTTGTCGGCTTTGCTTCAGAGTTTTTGTTCTTTCTTGTTCTCCTACTTTAGAAGATAGTTCAAATTGCTTCTTCATCTAATTAAAGTAAAGCTCGTTAAGTTTTCAAGCCAAAAACTAAAACAATAGAGTAAGTAGATTGTGTTCAAACATAATTACCTAAAATCATAAACTAATCAAGTAATGACAATGGGTCTAAATGGCTACCTTAAATCACATATTGCAGTACGAAATCAAAAGGAAGCACACTCACGATCTTAATAACGTATAAAGCACTTAGCATGCGACTTGAATGACTTTGTAAACAATACACCATTAAGAATGAGAGTAAAAATAGCAAAAACTTTTTCACTTTATCACGTAGTAAGGCAATGCATAATATATACTTTTGACAAATATTAAGCACAAAGCTTACAAGACAGCATGTAAAGAGAGCTCAGTCGTTCCTACTCATATATCATAACACCAGATTTCAAAGTTCAGATTCTTATTAATTCATCAAAGGAAGACAACTAGCTATTATGAATTTTATAGAACAGCAAAAACCATGAAGACTGAGTAGCTAAAAGCATATTCTAAAATTTGAAAGTGAAAAACCTTATGTATCTTGCACAATCCAACCAGACATTCTTCCTTCTCCTTGTGACACGAATCAAGAGCTTCCAGCCACTAGGCAATATATCCCCAAAGGCACTGGCATCTACAATCTTCCTCTTTCTCTTGCTAGTCACCCATTCCCCTTGAATTGCCTGCAAAAAATCCAACACCTCTTCCTTTGTCCGCATTCCCGCAGTGCTGTTCCTTAACCTATCTCCATATGGATCATCAGTGGTTACAACCATAGCTAATTCAATCGCGTTCTCTCCTACATTCATCATTCCCGTATTCTCTTCGAGTCTATTATTCTCCGCATCATCAGGCACAAGAACAATCCTATTCTCCGCGTGAGACACCACATTGTTTACCATACTACAAGGATTACCATGGAGATTAGTGTTGGTTTTGCTCGGCCTACCTCGCTTCCGCTTCTTTGGACTAGGAACAGGATCTGCAGAAATAGCCAGTACAACCACCGGCTGTTCAATGTCTCGATTGCGACTAGAACTAGGGATGTTCATAAGTTCAATTTCTAGTTCGCCTGTCATATTTGACGGGAAAGCCAGAAGTCCCTCGTGCTGGCCGACGGGGACCGAAACTAGGTTATCCATGCCTCCGCTCTGACCAGAACCAGAATCCACGACGCCTTTCCTAATTGACGGCAAAGCCAGAGCTCCCTCGTGCTGGCGGACGGGGACCGAAACTAGGTTATCCACGCCTCCGCTCTGACCAGAACCGGAATCCACGACGCTTGTCCTATTTGACGGCAAAGCCAGAGTTCCCTCGAGCTGGCCGACGGGGACCGAAACTAGGTTATCCACGCCTCCGCTCTGACCAGAACCAGAATCCACGACGCCGAACAGCGACTTGAGTCCTGATACGATTAGACGACTCTCCTCATCGAGCGGAACTTCAGCGCTCCGTAGACGCAAGGGAGTCGCAGTAGAAGGCGAAGCAGAGGGGCGGCGCGAGCTCCCTCGACGGGCTAGGCGGAGGCGGGAGAATGTCTGTTTACGGCTTCCCGCAGATTCGTTGAAGACGGAGCGATCGATTCTGGGAGTAGAAACGTCGGTGTCGTTGTGGAGATTGTGGACGGAGGAGAAGGAAGAGGAGCAAACGGAGAGGGAGAGTAGCTCCGATTGAGAGAGAAGGCCGAGGTCAATGAGAGGTAGGGAATCCGCCGCGAGGCTACTCGGGCGTTGGTCGCCGGAGACCGGGGAAGACGAGGTGTCGACGACAGCGGCCATGACATGGAAGACAGAGAGAGCGGTTGCGTAGATGACTCCGACTCGGAGAGGTGAGCGGGATTCGGAGAGGAGAATCGGGAGTCGGTACCAATTTGACGCGGTGGTGCTAAGGAACTCGAATTTTTGGGGGTTTCGTGAGTTATGTGACACCTATAAACTGAATACATATTTATCGTCCTAACTAGGGCTAGTAATCGGATTGTCAATTTACCGTTTAACCGGTTATCGAACAGGTAATGTCGGTTATTAGTTATACCGTTAACCAATGATATTAGTATGTGGTAGCCAAATCTTGTATGTCGGTATACCGAGCTTTACTCGGTTAGTAACTGGTTGTCACCCGATATATTGAAAGATACCGAATCACTCCCTTATATTCTGAATTTCCCTCTTCCCTCTCATTCTGGACCAATGAAGAAGTATAGAAAAAACAATTCTTAATTTCTTCTTTCTCTTCTTCCTTTTGCCTTCTCTCTAGAAACGAATCATAACCATACCAAATTGCCAATTTGCTTTATCCTCTTCTCTGAGGGCGGCTGCGGCAGCAGCAGAATAGGGAGCAGCACCATCGTCGGATATCTCTCGGCGGCGGCAGGAGCAGCAACATAGGAAGCAACAAATCGACAAAGTGCAATTTCATGTTGCCCGCAACTATATCCAAGTCTCTCCATGCCTCCATCGCCGACCAATCCCTTTCTTCTTCATCTTCGAACTGGGTCACTGAATCTCCAGATCCAGTGTCATCTACTGTCTCCCTCGTGCGATGACTCTCTCTCTCTCTCTCTCTCCCTCTCAATTCCAGATTTGCCAGCAAAGGAGAGGAGTCGGCAAAATGTCGACGACCTAGCACTACCATCTCCATTGATGAAATTATGGCTCAAGAGGCTCACATTTAACCATGTGTTATCCTTACTTCATTGTTCTTCATTAGTTAGTTGATGACATGAAGCAAAAGCATGCATTAGCTAGTCCTTGTTCCTTTTGCATGTGATGAAAACTCGATTAGGAATGCATTCGTAGAAGGGATAGAGTATCATAATAAATTAAGTATCAAAGTATCTTATCATCTAGGAAACACTACCTATACAATATCTTTACTTACTTGTTTGCTTAGTTTTCTTTCCTGCTTTGGTAGAATAGAATTCGACCAACCTTTAGGATACCTCAACCCTTTGAGTTTACTTTTTATTGCATTGTTATTATCCAAGCATGTGTTGTTAGTTTTGAGTAGTTACTAACTTACTATCAAAAGACCCTTTGAAATATATCCCTAGACATTTCTAGGATTTTATAACTTGTTGTATACTATGCATCACAATCCACCCGACCCAACCCAATCATAACCAAATCATATTGTTTTAATTTTTTTGTTGTTGTTAGATTTGGATTTAATATTTTCAAAAGCGAAGTGTATGGGTCGAGTGATTAAAATGACTAAATTTTAACCACCCGATCCATGTACGTGCCTAACATAAAAGGTGTGACAGTAAGGTGAATTATGAGTAATTTTGAGGTGATTGATGGAAGTATTCCTATAATTGAGATGATATGTTTGGGTTAATGATGAGAATGAGAATGATGAATGAGTAAAGTTCGTGACAGAAGGGTCATGCATTGAGTATTATGAAAATCAATTTATTGAATGATAATTGACATGAGATTATATGGACATGAAACTCAATGAGACGATATGGATTCCTCGATCAATTTAGATAATGATAGAAGAGAAAAATGAATAATGACGTAATCATCTAAATCATTTAAACATAGAAAGGGTATGCACTTACCCCGTCCTTTTTTTAATGAGTAAATTAGCGGGACTCTTCCTAGATAATGATTGTGTTTCCAGACTTGGTCCACTATTGATGATTATTTGCTCGAGTCAGGGGGTATGGTGATCTTGGCGCCCAATGTTATGACGTGCTTGGATGGAATTTTGATGTTGTGAGATTAGCGCGTGATATAGATGGTTGATAAATATTTTTTTACAAGTTTTATCTTATGAATAAAATGTTTGGATGTTTAATTAACAAAGTGACTTGATGAATTGATTGATGTGGATGATTATGAGTGTTATGATTAGATAGATAATAATGAGGAATTGGATTGAAGTGGAATTACTTGATGAATGCGAATTGATGACCTAAAACTTAACCTAGTGTGAATAAGATTTGTGTGTTTAAATCATTTGTTTCCTTATCCTATATGATTCACCTCATAGGTGGAAGTGTCCACACATTCAACTTCGTAATGACCCCATTTTGTTTCGGTTATAACATGTGTGATTGAATATGCTCTGGAATCTATCGAGTTCATATCGATGCTCACTCACTTATAACCCTAGCAATTACAAGTATATCACTGTTAGACTTGTAGTAAACTAGATCAGTCGTATTCCAAGGGGACCCAATACCCTAACCCACGCTTGTTAAGCTTAATTATTATCTAGCTGATCATCCGTTGTTGGTTGGTGTTGAGGAAATTGTGTTACTAAAACTCAAGAGAAAGAAATCAATACTCCCGCCCTCACCCTAACTACCGGTAAACATGCAAATTATAGGTAAATGATTCATGGCAATCAGTGATAAATTGAGAACGACTCTGGTATCGCACTCTAATTGATGAAGGATTTGTTTTGAATGTTTTACCAATTGATATATTTCCCTAATTTTGTTTTAAGAATGATTTTGAGTTTTAGAATGCAGGATAGTTGGTTTTGATCAAGTATGACCCATGAGTTGAGTTCGAATTGAGTAAAGGAATAAAAAGTCTAAATTTTGTGAATTCTAGTTTTGACGAAGGTCGATCAATGAATTTGATGAAGTTATTAGTAAGGAAATGTGAAAAGATTAGATACCTGATAGTTGAGTTCTAAACCTATCATAACCTTGTGGTTGGGAGTCGTGTCCGATTTTGTAAATTGTAACCCTCATTAATGTCTGTTGAGTTGGTGAACCATTACTTCATGACGATTTGTGTAGAGTGCTACAATCTTAATTTGTCAGCATCCATTATGTAATTGTGCATTAGTTAGCCTTAGTTAATCTACATGAAAGGTTTAGGGAGATACATGTTTCTCTACTTATGACTGCAGGCGCGAACTTGTAACAACAATAACGTATTACAATAACTTAATGAGAGTTTCTATGAAACTCTCTGTGTAGTACGACAATTCACATCGGACGAGAAGAACCAAATAGTTTTTTGTGGATAATGTGTTTTGTATATGCAAAGTAGGAGCAAAATGTATTTTAGAAGGAAAATAAACACAATAGAAAATATTTGAAAACCATGGGATTTGTGGATCTGCAATAGTGAAACTAAAATTATTATTATGGATGATCATATTAGATGCTCAATGGTATGTTACAAATTCTATGTAACTCCTCTCCTTATATTTGAAACTCTCTATGTAGTACGACAATTCACGCCGGACGACAAGAACCAAATAGATTTTTGTGGACAATGTGTTTTGTATACGCAAAGTAGGAGCAAAATGTATTTTAGAAGGAAAATAAACACAATAGAAAATATTTGAAAACCATTTTGTGGATCTGCAATAGTGAAAACTAAAAAGACAGAGACGGTTATGAAAATATTATTATTATGGATGATCATATTAGATGCGCAATGATATGTTACAAATTCTATGTAACTCCTCTCCTTATATTTGAATTCTTCTAATGACACATTAGTCTCATTTATGTGTATTGATGTTAGAATTGTAGGAGTTATGTATTTGTGCCTATAAATAGAGCACACAAATGTACTAAGAGAGATGAATGAGAAAACTCTTATCCCCCTCATCTTGTGTCTCTTTATCTTAAACTTGCTCCTCTTTCTATCATTTTATAACAAAGACGCATTTTTTTCTAATGATTTAACACTTTTTTAGGATGTTTACACCTAAAATTGTTTTTTTCCCTAATTGATTAGTTTGGAGTTTTTTTGTTTTAAGGCCTAATTCCACTAGAAAGTCCAAACTATCCAAAAAGTGTTATTTGTGTCATAAACTATTTAATATGACAAATCTGGCACGAATTATTTTTTCGTTAGTGTTGACTATGTTGACCATTAGTATTTAATGAAAAGTCCAATCATTGCTTACCTGTCATATGACATGACACAAATTTTTATTTTAATATTTTTCATATAAATAAAACAAAAAAAAGGATAATAAAAGTTTAAAATTTTATTTTTTCCGTTGCTTTACAAACTTACAAATAAATAAGATATTAAAAAAATAACCCAATCTCTCAACTCTTCGTGTGCACCTTCCATTCCCCAGATTACCTTCAACTTGAACCCTAATTATAATCCACTCGATGTCGCGCCTGAGATTTACAAAGGGGAGTTCTTATCTGGGCAACCTGAAAATAGATTAGCAATGGTGTCGCCCTCCTTATGAGTTGTCTCGTCTTGAAATGGAAAATGGATTGGATTCATGGATTGGTGGATCCATGGATCAAATAATTAGATCCAATGGGTTGGTGGATTAATCCAAGAATCCAAATGACATCCAAGGCTTGGCCAAAATATAAATTGTGAAAAGTTTAGGTACTAAAATGTCATAATAAAAAAATTTAGTGATCAAAATGTATTTTTTCCAATGATATTTTTGTATAAAAATATAAATTTTAGGTAATAAAATGTAAAATATAAAAAATATAGGTACCAAATTGTAATTTGTCATTTGGATTCATGGATCCATGAATCCACCAATCCAATTGAATTTGGATCAAATGGATAGAATTTAATTGAATTGGATTAGATGGATGGATTGGATTGTATTCATGGATTTGGATCTTAATTGCCACCTCTAGTCTCGTCAAAAGCCATATCCTTACCCCCGTCGTCGATGACGGACATCATCGATCCTGCCACGAGGAAACAGAAACGCGTCACCTCTGCCGCCGTTGGAGACGGGGTCGTAGAGCTAGATCTCCTCCCGCTGCTTCTTCTTCCTCTTCGCCTTTTTCGACAAAAGCATCCTTTGTTGTCGTTTAGAGGCCTGAATCCAAGAAAGGTCGAAACCTCTCTTGGTGCGGAAGAAGAAGAAGATTTGGAGGCGGAAGAAGGCCACTCGATTGCGGCGTTCTTGATTGCGGGAAGAACAAGGTCTGGGTCCC